AATAAATGAAACCTTTTCCCACCAGTTACATGCAAATAGTTTTATCATTTACATATTACAGAAAATATAATAGGAAATATCAGCGTGCCTACTTTTTTCTGCACCATTGTTATTTCTCTTATATTCACTTTTCTCGCTTTGCTGTTTTCTGTCTTTAAAAGGTTCTACATAAAAATGAACATTATTTACGATGCGGTACAAGCACGCGAACGCACCATATTTTCCATTCTCCGTGCAACTACCGCCATCTACCGACCACAGCTGGGAGTGCAGGTAAGATATTCTCCTATTGTGCAGAGGAAAAGATCTTTGACTTCCGCTGCAGGGGGAATATTTTATCTCTGCATTTTATTTTAAAACAATAAGCAGTGAATCGTATTACACTTTCCCACCGTGCATCATTAAGCTGCTGCTGCACAATAAGAAGGAGACAACAGACAACAGCGCCCCCTGGCTGAACATGTGACCCCCTGCATCACACTGAGGGGAATAAAAAGCTCCATCATCCTGCGATAGGAGCGGTGGAGACAGGGCATCCTCCCCACACCCGACACCCATGACCACCGACTGCAGGCTCGCTCGCTAACCGGACACACAGGAGGGATTTTCAGCCAGAAACATGTCGAAGCACCGTAAAGACAGAGACAGCTGGGGTGAGTGTACGAGCACCATTATTCTATTTCATGCTCTCCCTGACGCACAGAACCATTTTTATCCAGTCGAGGCGATGGTCTGGAAGCAGATGCAGCCACTTGCATGTTTATTTCCCTCCTTGATCCAAAGCTTGTTTTCATCGCGACAACACTAGAAACCAATGCGTGCTAATTCCCATCCCGGTTAAATCTAAGATTCCTGGAGTGTCGGTCTGTGAAGGAAGCAGACGTCCTTTTTTTTTATTATTCATATTTAATGCATGTTTCAGCAGATGATGTTTTTAATAACCAGGACACAGGAAATGCCCTCCTGGGGTGGAGCAGGCTGCAAAAGGCCTGGAAATAACCTTCTACTATTGTGGGGAGCTTCCTGTGATGATCAGTGGTGCATCCAGCATGGGATTATGTAATAGTGCATCACTAAATAGCTTCTCATCAGCATCATCTGTGCCCTCATCCCCATCACCACCATCACCACCATCACCCATGATGATCAGCAGCCTCCTGATTCTCTGTGGCTCTTAGAATACAGGCCTGCAAGGAAGGGGGTGGGGGGATGTGTGAATGAGTGTTTCAGGGGCGAAGGGAAATAAAAGGGAGTAAACGCTGCTTTACCTGATCTGACCCACTTTACCCCGACACTCCTGCTCCTGACGTCTCCGCTGTGTCCAGAGCAGCAGCAGCAGCAGCAGGAGGAGGATGAGGCTCACCAGGCGGGCGGGCTGATGCCAGGGCCTGGGTGAGGCCTTCGCAGGAGACATGCAGTCTTCAGGAAAACCTTGGGACTATTCCGGCTTTAATAATTCACTGTGCGTTCTCTGCAACCATGCATTAATGTAGCGGTCTCCCAAATTCTTGCCACTTGTCACTATGGCTTTTAAGAGACTTGCCTGGTGTGAAATTGCACCTTTGAAATATCAGCATCACAGCTGCTGAGGAGGAAGTGGGTGATGGGAGTGAGTTTTTTTTTTTTTGTGTGTGCGTGTGCCGTGCAGAACTTAAATCTTCCAACCCAAGTTTCTTGTAGCATAACACGAGTGGGGATTTGGGAGCTAGAAGTCTCCCAGTCTCTGCATCAGGGCGGTCACACAGCCTGCACACGCTACATGAGACAGCAGGGCTCAGAAAGCAAACTGAGTCACTGCCTGGAAAGCTCCGGAAGAAGATCTGAATGCACATGAGCTCATTGGAAGCAAACAGATGGGACGGAACGCACAGAGTGATTCACTTATTATTATTAACAAGCTTGTATATGAGAGGATATTGATCTGAGGATTACAGGAAGGAATGAGAGTGGCATTCAGTCGAGCATTATATCCCACAGTCCTCTCATGAAACCACATTTAAATTCACTAGATCCAGATTTTTATTCAGATCTACACCCAAACTGCACATTCGTAGAAATCAGTCTCCTAAACAGGCCTGATTTGAAATCTTGGACGTGCCCCTTTATCCGGATCTGCACCAAAGTTTTACGAATTATTTCTTTTCCAATGTCGCATCCGTCCTTCAAGTTTCATGGAAATCTGTTGAATAGTTTTTGTAAAATCTTGTTCACAATCAAACAAACAAGTTTTCTTAATCGCTGATTGATTAAATTTACTGTTCACTGACTTTTAAGTTGAACTCTTTGTGTTAATCAGATTTAATTATGTTAAAGAATATCAGGATAGAAATGACATCATCAACACAACTCTGTATCTACATATAACCACAATCAATCCAGTTGAATGGACAGTAGCTTTATCCTTGGCTGGATGTTTTCTGACTCCCTCCTCCTCCTGACTCGTCCTCCAGGGTCCCTCAGTGACAAACCCGTCTACGACTGGAGCTCGGAGGAGGAGGAGCCGGACGGACGAGCCCGGCCAATCCAGGTGCTGCTGGTCAAAGACGACCACACCTTCGAGCTGGACGAGGCGGCGCTGAGTCGCATCCTGCTGGCGGAGGAGGTCAGGGACCGAGATGTGGTGGCCATCTCTGTGGCTGGGGCTTTCCGCAAGGGCAAGTCCTTCCTCATGGACTTCATGCTGCGTTACATGTACAACCACGTGAGTGTCCCCCGGTCTGTGCAAGAGCTGACAGAGTTCAGCTTCTGAATCTGGAGCGTGACCTTTTGTTTTCTGCTCCTTCAGAAAGTAAATAAAGACAGTAAATATGTACACGTGAAGGTACATGTACACATACAAGTATACACATTCTGTTCATCATAGACTGCGTCTCTACTTCCTCCCACTGTTCACAAATGAAGCCAAAATGTCTTGGATATGAAAGCTGCTGTCTTGCCCTGAGGATTTCTTTGGAGCCTCAGTTTAATTAAATCAAACCCAACTCTTAGTCCATCTTTGTATAAACTCTTATTGTTTACACCAGTTCATGCACAATGTGTGTACATATAATCAAAAACAATATAAGATCACCTGACCTGGCGTGATTGTGCTCAGGCCTCGGACGTTTGGCTCGGCGATGCAGACGAGCCTCTGACCGGCTTCTCCTGGCGAGGAGGCTCAGAGAGGGAGACCACCGGCATCCAGATCTGGAGCGAGGTCTTTCTGGTGGACAAGCCAGATGGAGGACAGGTGAAGTTTCTTCTCGCTGGATAGAGTCGACCGATTTAATGCATTGTGATATAAATGTAAACATGACAGAGGAAGATGCTGTGGTAACCTTCTGCTTTGAACCGTTTGAATGCGACTCCTCTGCAGAGTTAACCACAGTTTGTTAGTTAACATTGACGGAAGTAACTTTTGTTTTTTACACACATCTCACTAACTTCGGTTGCACTGTTGTTTGCCAAATATCTATTTCTCCTGCACAGAGAGCAGCAAGAGCCTGGACACTGATGGTTCCTGTCTTTGTTACGTTTGACCTACATCCACCGATACTTGACACTGATTGGTTTTTAAACTAATATTAGAAAAAGGCAGTTTGTCCATTTGAATGATAGCTTGAATCACTGCCTCTGTACAGGAGACTGCAGGGGGGTTTGGTATGTAGGGCCCCCGTTTGCCTTCGGCCCCCAAAGTCCCTTGAAACGCTCCTGCCTGGAGTTCAATCACTCCTCTAACAATCCACACTCAGCATCACATTACAGCTCACTCTACTCAGGAGAAACGTGCCGACCTCCTCGCAGCGCAGGTCAACGTCTTCATCTGTCTCGTTACGCAGGTGGCTGTGCTGCTGATGGACACACAGGGGACGTTTGACAGCCAGTCGACGCTGCGGGATTCAGCCACCGTGTTCGCTCTGAGCACCATGATCAGCTCCATGCAGGTACGACGACACAAGTAGCAGCTTGATTCTACGGTTAAAACCTCCATCAGTCAGCCTGCAGGTCAAAAGCATGTCTGCTGTGACAGCAAACAATTTAACAGGCACTAAAGAGATTTTATTAAATAGAAGTATTATATTGTAAAACTTCCATTTTAAACTGATTTTAAGAAATAAAACTGTAACTGTTCCTTCTCAGGTTTACAACATCTCACAGAATGTACAAGAGGACGACCTCCAGCACTTGCAGGTAACACTGTCGACACTAATGCACTAATGAGAGCTCAAAGAACAAGGTCAGGATATCAAATACATCACCAGCCAGACATGTATATTAGTATTTATACTTGTACTGTGGCTCATAGCACAGTAAATAACTGTGGTCCGTCAGAAGCTCTTAAAGCAGCACCATGTGGCTTTTACTCAGCAACAGCGTCCTCTGCAGCCACATGTGATGATTTATTCTGCACTCACTGAACCATCAAACTGAATTAAAGCTGCTAATTTAAGGTACAAACGTTGTTTAATGATTGTAAATGATTGTTTCTTCCATCAAAACATTTCACATCCTCACTGATTTCTGTCGTATCTGCTTTGTTTCAGCTGTTCACCGAGTACGGCAGATTAGCAATGGAGGAGACTTTCCTCAAACCATTCCAGGTAACAGCTTCATTGTGCTGCCGACTGAATGCTAATGTTTGTAAATGACATTCAAACATCGTTACTGATATTTAGCTTTAGCAGTTTGAAATCTTAACTAGAGATTTTTTTCTTAAGACAGTTTAATGATAAAGTTTCGATAATCGCTGAAAACAAAACAAACTGGTGACAAACTCGCTGCTGTTGATTAATCATAGATATGATTTGACCAGAATGTACAATACGTGAAATTATCATTTATAGTGACCTGATGCATTTTTCTGTCTCAGTCCATGATTTTCCTCGTTCGAGACTGGAGTTTCCCGTACGAGTTTCCCTACGGACAAGAAGGAGGCATGCAGTTCCTCGAGAAGAGGCTGAAGGTCAGTCAGCACTGATGTCACAGAGGTTGAAGGTCAATTCTCGTATCCTCCTGTGGCGTCAGTTTCCACGTTACGTGTGTCACTGCAGTTTGAAAGAATCGCTGAGTCGACTAAGCGTGTGCTTGTGTTGTTTGCCGCAGATCTCAGAGAACCAGCACGAAGAGCTGCAGAACGTGCGTAAACACATTCACTCCTGCTTCACCAACATCTCCTGTTTCCTGATGCCTCACCCGGGACTCAAAGTCGCCACGAACCCTCACTTTGATGGAAGACTTAAAGGTTTGATCCGGCTGCAGTCGCTTTGTTTTACAACGTGTGATCATTTGATTAACTTGAAGAACTTTTTTCGGTTTTGACAAAAAGCATAGTTGACTTTTAAACTGCGGCGTCTATCCACCCATCCATCCATCCA